CACCATCACAGACATCTACGCCTCCAGATGCAGGAAGAGGGCCACCTGCATCATGAAGGACCTCACTCACCCAGCACACACATTTTGCCCCACTCCCCTCAGGAAAGAGGTTGAGGAGCATCAAGTGTAGAACTACTAGACTGAGGAACAGCTTCTACCCTGAGGCTGTTTCATTAATCTCTAACCAGAATAATCACTGTGAAAAACCACATCATGTTGCTGCGTTTCAATGTTGATGTGTTCATGCATGCACATCCGCTCACACAGACTCATGTTCATGTTTGTGCCGACGTTCAATGTTTTATGTTATGAGTGCTTAATGTATATTTAGTTGATGTTTTTCTTGGTTCACATCTTAGATGTTGCCTTTTTTTTTTAATTTATTTTTTTTTTATACATTTTATTGTTGGATGCAACTGGGACCCTGTGTACATAATTTAGCTAGCGCCTGCATTTTGTGCCGCTAGCCTAGTTTTATGTCAGTGCCGGGTTGGGGGGGGGGGGGGGGGGGGGGGGGGGGGGGGGGGGTTGTTCGGTTTGGAAGGTGGGGTGCTTAGTTCTGTTGACGAAGCGGGGCACCCCACTTGTGTAATGATAGGGGAAACCGTGTTTAATCATTCTGCATTCAGCAACATTTTACCAAACGTAACATTTATACATTTGTGTTGAAAAATGGTTCCACCCTCCTACTCTGAGCCATTAGCCTCCTACTCAAAAAGTTAAGGCATTTTGATAAGTCCTGTATAACCAACATGTTGCCATTCTTCAGTATGACAAATATTAACACACCACGGGACAACACAAATATTGTGATGTGCAATTAACAGCAGTGAGTCTTCGTTCAGTGCAAATACACGAGCTGTGTCACTTCAAGTAGTCACCATGCTGGAGTTGCTCCTTGCATCCAGACCCTTCAAGAAGCAGCTGGTGGGAAGCGACTTGCTTTACAACAGTTTAACAAAGAAGCCTTTAGATCAAATCAATTAATTATAATTTAGAGGTCCTGTCAGACAAATTTCATGAGGCCAAGGTCCAAAAGCCCAACTATTTAACGTGATAGTTCATGTGGTTTACTTTGATTAATGCGTTTTTAATAGTGTTCAGTTTTCTTATCAGTATTTGTGTGACAGTTTGTGGTGTTGAAGACATTGGGTTTAATTTTTATTTATTCAATTTCATCTTAAATAACGTGCAATATGTTTCACATCATTTAAATCACATAACTTGAATTCAACAGTTTCAAAAGCATCGACAGACGGCATGTTTCTCACCAAGTGGGTGTAAATTCAGTTGTGGGTTTTAAAGACATTTAAACTTTAATGCACTTTATCAACAGCCTCATATCTGCACCATTTGTGTTGATAGAAAAATAAAAAACATCACTGGACTTTGTTTTTAGTTGTAGACAGCTTCACTGTTACACTTCCAGTCCAGTCTGTTGTCCAGGTGAACTCCAAGGTATTTATACTTCTCCACCACCTCCACTTCTTCTCCCATGATGGAAATAGCATTGGACATGTTCCGGATTCTCCTGAAATCTACAATCATCTCCTTTGTTTTGTTCACATTCAAGATGATTGTTTCCACACCATGCCACAAACCGGTCTACAAGTTTCCTGTACTCAGCTTCTTGTCCATCTCTGATACACCCGACCACTGCAGAGTCATCTGAATAGTTCTGCAGATGGCAAGAGTCAGTTTAGAACTGGAAATCTGAGGTGTACAGAGTGAAAAGGAATGGTGAGCGTACAGTCCCCCGTGTTGCTCCTGAGCTACTGACCACCTGGTTAGACACACAACCCTTCAGTCTCACAAACTGTGGTCTGTCCGTCAGGTAGTCTTTGATCCAGGTGATTGTTGAGGCCTCCACCTGAGTCTTCTGGAATTTCTGACAAAGCAAATCAGGCTGGATTGTGTTAAATGCACTGGAGAAATCAAAGAACATGACTCTCACACTGCTGTCTGCCTTTTCTAGATGACATTGAGTTTGCTGAAGCAGGTGTATGATGGCATCTTCAACTTCAAGTCCACGCTGATAAGCAAACTGCAGTGGGTCCTGATATGTGCTTGTTTGTCTAGTCAGGTGGGTCAGCAGAAGTCTCTCTAGGACCTTCATGATGTGGGATGTCAGGGCAACAGGTCTATAGTCATTGAGGATTGATGGGTGAGGTTTATTTGGCACTGGAACAAGGCAGGATGTTTTCCACAACACTGGAACCTTCTCCTGGGTCAGGCTAAGGTTTAAGAGGTGCTGCAGAACCTCACAGAGCTGTTCTGCACAGACCTTCAGGACTCTGGGACTGACACCCTCTGGACCTACAGCTTTACTCTAGTTCAATCTCTCCAGCTGCTTCCTCACCTGACTTATGGAGACACAGAGGGGGGAGGCAAAGGAGGTATCAGCATCTTCTGATTTAGTTGAAGACCAATATGTAGAAGAAGGGTCCATGACTGAGGCGGTAGATACAATATTTGAGGTGTGACAGGACAGCCTTGGGTCAATGGAGGGTGGTATGTATGTTTGGCTGTGGGCAAGAGCGGAGGATGCCGAGCTTGTTCCTGAACTGAACCTACTGAAGAACGTGTTCAGTTCATTGGCTCTGTCCAGGCTTCCATCCTTCTGATCCTTCTTCTGCTTGAAGCCTGTGATCTTTTTCATCCCTGACCACACCTCTGATATTGTTCTGCTGGAGCTTGCTCTCCAGCTCCTTCTTGTACACCTCCTTGCTGTTTCTTATCTTGACTTTTAGTTGCTTCTGTGTGCTCCTCAATAATTCCCCGCCTCTCTCCCTGATGGCTCTTTTTCTAGTATAGCAGTTCCTTCAGGTCAGTGGTAATCCAGGGTTTGTTATAGGGGAAGCATCTCACCGTTCTGGTGGGGATGATGTCGTTCACACAGAAGTTTATATAGTCAGTCACACACTCAGTCATGGCACTGATGTCCTCTCCATGTGACTGGCACAGTGCATCCTAGTCTGTAGCCTCAAAACAACCCTGAAGGGCTTTTTCAGCTTCCGTTGACCATTTTCTCACTTTTCTCTTTATTGTACGTTGCCTCTGAACGAGGGGTTTATATTTTGGGCAGAGAAACAAGATAGTGATCCGATTTGCCAAGAGAGGGTCTTGCTTTAACGATTTATGAATCCTAGACATTTGCATTAAACAAGTCCAACGTTTTGTTTTCTCTGGTAGAGCAGCTGACAAACTGTTCGAATGTCGGAAGTGTAGCAGAAAGAGGCATGATTAAAATCCCCAGATATTGCAACAAACGCACTAGGGTATTGCGTCGGTAGCTTAGCAACCTCGGAGCTGATGACATCGCATGCAGTCTCGGCAACAGCATTGGGTTGAATGTAAACAGTTGCCAAAATAACCCTGGTGAACTCTTGGCAAATAATACGGATGACAACTTAGGGCCAACAGTTCAATATCTGGACTGCAGAGACGACACTTCACAGTAACATGTCCAGGATTACACCATCTGTTGTTCACAATCACTGCCAACCCACCTCCTTTCCTTTTGCCACTCCTCTTTAAAGCTGCTCGTACGGTCAGAAAGTCTGGCAAGGAAACGCTGGAGTCAGGAATATGATCCTGCAACCATGTCTCAGTGAAACACAACACTGCATTCCTGATACTCTGGATGGGTCCTTGTTAGGGCTTGAAGTTCATCCAACTTGTTTCCCAGCGATCTCACATTGCCCATCATGATCGATGGAAGAGATGGTTCAAACTGCATTCTTCTCTTTCTCCCTCTTCTTTGCTCCTGCTCTGCATCCACGATGGCTCCTTTTCAATTCATTTGGGATTTGAGGCTGTAGTCGAGATATTATTTGAGCTTTTGAGATGTTAATCTGCTGCTCCTGGTTGTAAAAAAAAATCTTGTTATGGTTATGCATCATAAATGTCCAAAAGCAAAGATATTTCTGTAAAAATCCTTCCAGCTGCACAGCATCCAACACCAGAGGAAACAATAGTCCAAAAAAAGCGATTTATATCCAGAAAAAGAGGAATTAAGATTTCAAAAATAATCTCAAAATGAAAGTAACAGAGCTACTCCAACATGCAGCCACCTTGAGCAGCGCAATTCTAGAACAATGAATGACTTCAATGAACAAACTAACTAATGCACCTGAACACAGCGTCTTACACATGCGTCAGTTATTGTTAAGCTAAGATGCTACAGATGTAGCTCCACTTCAGTCAAGCATACTCCTAACATGAATATATGTTTATGATAGTCCTCCCCCCGGTCAACAACTGCCCACAGTTAACTCATTAAGCTGGCTGGTGAGTAACAAGCGTCTCAGCCGAGTGAAGCTCAAGCTGTGAGCGATCTCTGCCGAGGCAGGAAACGCAGAGGAGAAACACTGCAGGCTGCTGGAGAGATGTAGGTAACCAAGAAAACCTGGAGTGGACTTTTAGTGGTTTGAGTATTCTCTTATCAAGTGGAATGGATTCGTTCATGAAGAAACGGAATCGGCGCCAACTGAACTAATGCTTTACGTTAATAGGTTTGGGTCCCCATAAGAAATCATTTCGGTCCGGATCCAGACCCGAGTCCGCCATTCAGTACCCTAGCCTCTAGATTCTTCAAGCCTCCGAATGCTTCTTTGTTTATTGCAATTATGTTATTAAACACATGTGGTTAAATGCCTCAGCAAACTCCCACCCACTCACACGTTCTTTAAAATCTGCATGACTGATGTCACAACAACTTTTGTACCATTTCACAAAACATTAAAAAAAATAATAAAATAAAAAAACCACACACCACCACTTTAATTTAAAATGATCCATGGATTAGATTTTTGGTCAAACAACTGTTAAAAGATCTATGCAGAATGTTGTGGACTGAAAGGTGAAGACCCCACACATTGACCAACAATCTCAACCATTTCACTCTTTGTTCCTGCAAACAAGGACCAACAGGTCTGCCATTTCCAAAGCATGAACATTGCATGTTAGTCTTCAAATGCAGAAAGAACCAACATATGTACCTGATTTTGTCATCCCTCCTGATACCCAACAGGGTGGCAAGCTGGGTCAAGTGGCTGAGCTGTGGAGCTGGGATGTAAGGCGCCTGGTTGCATCCAGCCAGCACGTCTTTAAGCACATGTTCTTGCTGTAGGCCACTGAGGAGATGATGAAGCTGAAGCACCAGGCTTAGATGGCTCCTCTCCACCTCAGCCTTTGTCGTCTGCTCTTTTTTGACTGCCTTCTTCTGGGCTTTCAGCAACTACAGGAGCAGAGGGTCATCAGGAGAACTTTCAGGTGTAATGTTTAAGCTTAAGCTGCAGTACAACAGTTAGAATGGTAGAGCACATATCCACTCATAAATGACATTTGCAGACAGATCTGTATTTAAACCAGCAACTCTCAATTACAACTCATTAAAATATTCTGATGCTGCTCAATAATCTAGTTAGATCAATTTAACAAGCTCGAGTCAGGTCCTTGGAACGGCCTCTTCTTGTTGATGTTCAACACAGACAAAGCAGGGAGCAATAATGTGCGACGTGCTGAACAGACCATGGTAAGTTTATTTCAACCGATCCGTAAAAATAAATAAAGAAAAACCCACAATTGTCTTCAATCCTCCAACCCACTATGTGCCTCTCAAGTTAGCAAGCCAACGTTAGTGTGGGCATGCGGTCCTCACAACATGTGATCATGTGAAGCTAGACAGCCAGCGAACAAAAGTAGTTTTCAGACAAGGCTTGCTTACTTGATTTTACCGAAGACCTTTCATTTATGAATTTATAAAAAGATGCAAGTTTCCCCAAAGCGTGTAGGGCACATTTAGAGTGTATGAGAAGTTTTCTCCCTTGTTTTCCCAAGAACTTGTTTTAGAGAAAATGTCAAAGATTGCTCTGTGGTGAGAGCACTCACTACCTCACGTGCTGCACGAAGCTGTGACGAAGATCAAATGTCTCACCGATTGGAATTTTAACCCAAAAAACAAACAGTTTATGAATTTACTATAATTATTAACTATGAACTTATTCATCACCTCATTTATGTAACTTACTCACGTGATTAAATTATAGTCTTAACAAAAAAGGCACCACAGTAAAACTAAAAGGTGGATCTGATTAGCTTAGCTTCATGGTTGCCAACAGCTGAGCTAAATAAACAAGCTTGCTCCACTCGCCGTTTGATTTTTGGGGGTGGACAAAGTGCAAAAATTTTCTGCCATTATATCCGTTATCGGCATCACCTACCCCTCCCAATATTGGTATCATTTTTTTTTTCCTCCATTCAACCTTTATTTCTACAGGTTAAGTCTCGTTGAGCCTCGAGGACTATTTACAAGAGACCCGTTTTAAACAAACAGTGATAAGGTATCAGTGATAACCAAAATGGCCAAGTCAGTTGGGCTTCAATTGTAATAACAGCAGGATATTTTCCCATTTTAGTCTGATTTGAAGCTGCATTGTTTTTTGTTTTTTTTTATTCCAGTCCTGACCACCGTACCCTACAGATATGGAAGCTGAACATATGGCCTTTGTCAAACTTGCACAAGTCCAGTCGGTGTTGGGCATGTCTCCCCCACCCCAACATGCTATTCATGCACAGAGTTTAACTTTTTTACTTCTACATATTTTTATAATAAAATATGGAATCAAAAAATGCACAAATAACAGACATGAAATGGGTCAATTTCTCCCTACAAACAACACGAACAAGTAGTAAAAAAAAAAAAAAAAAAAAGGGTTTACGGGAGCATTTAAATAGACTTTAAAATCTTAACTTTTTTTAAAGGCTTTGTCAGAACAGTCTTGTCAACCCCCCCCAACCCCCCCCCAAAAAAGCGCATGGCTAATTTTTCCTCATTGGTTCATCTGAGATTAAAAGGGATCCAGCTCTAACAAACATTTAGTCATCCTTGTACAGTTTATTCATCTTGTCTGGAGATGGGATATATACTTTCTATGAAACCAGACTGTTTCAGTACTTACATTCTGAGTTAGATTATCCAAGGTTTTGTGCAGCTCTCTTGCAAACCCCAGGTTGTGGAGCACCTCGTCGTACTTCTCCACCGCCGCCTGTCGGAACAAGTGTAGGCACTGAGCATGAGAAAATCTTCTGTGTCAATATTATTGCAAAGTATTCTCACCATCTGGTCCTGGTTCAGGGACTCTCCCTGGCTCAGTCTCTTCTTGTAGTCCTTCAGTTTCAGCTGTGGGTGAAGAGAATACTGACAGATCCCAGCTACCTGCCTCACCTGCCCCACTTCACAAAAATCTACAACCATCTTACCTTCTTCTTCTCCAGGTTCCGGACTTTGTGTTTTAGGCAGATGAGACCATCCTCTATATAGGCTTCATATCCAGGGTAGGGGGTGGACATTTCCAGGTTCATCAGCCCCTCAGGTGAGCTCCCCTTTGGACTCCCAGTCTTCACCTGCTCCTGCTCCTCCTCCTCCTCTCCTGCCGCTGATGGGTCAGATGTGTGGGAGACATCCAGGGTGGGGGACGGAGACAACTGCACCATGTCAGTCACTGCTGGAAGTGGAGGGAGACATTTAGCTGAGAGAAACTGGAAGTCAGGGCAGGCTGGGAACCAGCCAACCCAGTGACGGTGAAGTTCACGTGCATGTTACAGATCACTTAGATTAATCGTTGTCGTCCGCATCACATGTCAAGTCAGATTTATTTATAGAGCACATTTAAAAACAAACTGTTACCAAAGTGCTTAAAAATATCACACCATCAAATAAAAACAAGCCATTTACAGCACATGGAATAAAAATATAAACAGAAAACAATTAGAAACAATGAAAATCTACATCTGATCACCCTGTGTTAAATGTCAATGAGTATAGGTGTGTTTAAGAGTTTTAAATGTGGAGACTGAGGTAGCCTGACGAATGATGGGTAGATTATTCCAGAGCTTAGGGCCCACCACCGAAAACGCTCGATCTCCTCCGAGCTTCAGCCTGGTTTTTAGTACCACCTGATTGCAAGGTCCGAGAAGGAGCATACGGATGAAGGTCAGAGAGGTCTGAGGGTGCAAGGCCGTTAATGCACTTAAATGTCAGCAGGAGAATTTTAAAATTGATTCCGACATGCACAGGAAGCCAGTGAAGGGAGGACAGAACCGGTGAAATGTGCTCAGACCTGCGAGTTCCTGTTAAAAAGCAGAACTGCAGCGTTTTGTATGAGCTGGAAACATGAAAGTGAAGCCTGACAGACCCCAACCTAAAGTGAGTTACAGTAGTCCAGTCGGGTTGTAATGAATGCATGCAACAACATAACAGATTTGTTCCACTTTGGAGTATGCTGTTTGGGGGAAGAATCAGTTTTGTGTTGTGCATTTCCTTGACTGATGAAGCCTTCCGGATGGAAGGAGAAACGCAACAACAACGCGACGACGACAAACTATCCAGATAACCCGACTGAAAAATTGTTGGAATGCATGGACTAATTTTTCAAGGTCGGACCTGGACAGAACAGACTTAAGTTTGCCATCTGCCCTAGCTGAAGGAAGCTTTTTTGTAAAACAGAGTTGATCTGTTTATTAAACTTAAAGTCTAAGTCTAACACTACCCCGAGATTGGTAACAGACTGCTTTAGATGTAGCTGAAGGGAGTGCAGGTTTCCAGGATCAGTGACAGCGGTAGAGCTTGGGTTAAACACAATGACCTCAGTGTTCTGATCCTTAAAACTCAAGAAGCTCGCAGCCATCCAAGTCTTGATGTCATCAAGACACTTTAACAAAGGGTGGATGGAGCAGGAACCGTTGGGTTCTAGAGGCAGATCAATCTGAGAATCATCGGCGTAACAATGAGAATCAGCGCAACAATGAAACGAAATACCATGTTTCCTCAGGATAGACCAAGGGGAGCAGATACAATGAGAACAGAAGGGGTCCAAGAATGGAGCCTTGCGAGACCTCACAGGAAAGAGACGGAAGCAGATAAACGATTGTCAAAGTTAACACAAAAACTCCTGTCACTCAGATACCAACGGTACCATTCTAGCACCACACCTGTAATCCTAACCCAGTGTTCTAGCCGTGACATAAGGATGCTGTGATCAACAGTGTCAAATGCAGCAGTAAGGTCAAGCAGTACCAGGATCACAGACTGACCAGAGGCATTCGCTAGCAGAATGTCATTACAGACCAACAAAGTCCATGCTCAATAATCCAGGTATACAGGTCCTTCTCAAAAAATTAGCATATTGTGATAAAGGTCATTATTTTCCATAATGTAATGATAAAAATGAAACTTTCATATATTTCAGATTCATTGCACACCAACTGAAATATTTC